AGCGAGCGTCGTCCAGAGTGGCGATCGCCCAAGGTATAATAATTTCGGCGAACTTTCTCTCCACCCCTGCTTCCCCCCCCCTTTCCTTTTATATTTTTTTTCACGCTCGTCTCCGAAGTGTACGTCCTTCCTTTGTTACGTTTACGAGTCTCCTCGGATCCAAAGTAAAATCTCCACCCTCTGCCACGCTTCTACCCTTCCCTGTTCTCCGCCCAACCCCCTGCCCCATCCCTCGTGCTTACTGTTCGTCTCTACCGAGTGCAGCCGTGAAATAAATCCGTATATTCCGGAGGGTCTTAAATTCAACCGGAAATAGAATTTGTCCCGAGGCGGTCGCGGAAGCCAATGGCGCGAGGAGAGAAGCAAAGAAATTCGAGGAAACTCGGAGAAATCGAGAGGCAGAGAAAAAGCAGAGCCCATCGAGAAGGGAATCCGTGAGGTCGCGCGAACCGTTTCCGAACAGAGCGGGTGGTAGGGGGTGGAGGAGGAAGGAGAAGAAGAGATAGGAAGCACACAGGAAGCTTCCACGTACCCACTTTCTATCCGAAACATCATCGCCGAGGAAGAGAAATACCGGTCCAGCAGGAGAAACCGGGGGGGAATTTAATTTTCTCGTAGGAAAACGAAAACAAACCCGGCTGATTTACGATCAGGATCGAAATGTTAAAATATTCGCGTTGTATTTTACGAGGGAACGTCGGTGTTGGCCGGGGTGGTTAACGGTGGCGGTAGGATAGCTTTCGGAGGGTGGAAGAGGTTTCGGGTCGGATTAAAATTTTAAATATCGATGTTACATCTCCGTCCGTTTCACCCTGGGCAAGTTCAAAGGACGTTTTATAATGCTCTCGCTGTCGACGGGAAGAAGTGCTCGTTAGAAGCAGTGGCGAACATTGCGTAGGCTACGGTTGCACCTGTTCGAGTACTATTAGAGACGGCTTAAAATTTTCACGAGCCTCTCGAGGGCCGGGCTTCTCTCGGCTGCCGAAATCTGCAATTTGGCGGGATCCATCGTAAGCAGGTACTTGGGAAGAAAGTCTACGTTGGAAGAGAATAGAAAAAGAACGAGGCCTTTGCACGCTGAAGAAGGTGGCCAACCACCTCCGGAGTGGGCGACCCCGCTGGCAGACGATCCTCCTCATCGTGTTTACATCTGCTTCGAAGGAAGCAAAAGTAACGAGAAAAAAAGAAAAAAAAGGAAAAAGGAGAGAGTAAGAGAGAACGAGTGAGAGAGGAAGTGGAGGAAGGAAAAGGGGGGTGGGGGGAGGAAAAAATGTGAAATCGTGGCTTATCAAAGGAAGGCTAGATACTCACCCCCCGTGAAAGCTGCCGCTCTTCTGACAGGCTTTGCTCCTCTTCGAGCAGTCTTCTCTTCGTCCCTCTCTCTCTCTCTCTCTCTCTCTCTCTCTCTCGCTCTCTCTCTCTCTCGACACGAAGCTGTTTTCGGCAATTGCTACTGGGTCTTGTCAAAAAGTTGAAAGAGAGAGGCTGGTGAAAAGAGGCACTACGGATTTCTAGCCTGGCCGAGGCTAGAGGAGAGAGGAAGTGGAAAGGGAAGGAGAAGGACGAGAAGAGAGCAGGGTGAGAAGAGAACGAGAGATCGAGGAGGAGGAGGACATCTTAAATTTTTTACGAGGCCACTCGTGAGCAATGGCAACGGAAGAAGGCAAGCACCGCGTTAGACCTAGGAGGCGCTGCACAGCTACCAGCAGCATTTCACTGAAGTCTGCAATTTCGCGGATGCATCTTGGCTGGTCTGGCTAGAGCAAGAGAACGCGAGGGAAGGAGGGGAAGGTCTTTGCCCGCTTTAGAAGAACTCCTAAAGCGCGCCTTCCACCTCCTTCTCCCTCGGTCCACCTTCCCACTCTACTATATTTTGGTACTCTAGAATTTCGTGCTTCCTCCAGTCCTCTGCTCAGCTCTCGCCTCCTCTTCGTCTTCGAATCCCCCGACCCTCGTGTACCAACCTCTCTATCTCTTCCTCCTCTCCCCTTCCCTCTCCTTTCCTTCCTTTCCCTTCCCTTCCCTTCCCTTCCCTTCACTTCCCTCCTCGTCTCTTTCCTTCCCGCCTCTCTTCCCTGCCCTTCTCTTCTCTTCTCTTCTCGTTCTTCCCATTTTTACCATCCCCTTCTTTTCGATCCTCTTCCCTTCTTTTCGCTTCTCTTCGCTTCTCTTCTCTTCTCTTCTCTTCTCTTCTCTTCTCTTCTCTTCTCTTCTCTTCTCTTCTCTTCCCTTCTCCCTTGTTCGTCTCTTTCCGTCGAAGAATAGCGAGACGCCAGCCAGACCTTGCGGCCTACCGGAGCAAAAGAGATCGACGCCGTGGCAAAAGCTTGGTCAAACGAAGACGGCCGATGCATCTCTCTCTCTTCGTCTTTCAGCTTTCGCTTCTTTCTCTCTCGCTCGAGCGTTATGTCTCGCGGTTCTACGTGTGCCCGAGGGGGGAAGGGCGAGAGAGACGGATAAACGCATGGTATTGATCCTGAAACCCCTTGCTCCTCAACCTATCCTAGCTAGCACCCCTTCCACTGCATCGACGAACCCCAAAGTTGCGTTCGGTCTCACTTCCTCCCATTTTCTTCTCGCTTTTGCCATTTCTCCCCATTTTAGACACGGCTAGATGACTCGTGCAACGAGTTGCGCCATTTTCATCGAGCTTAGACGCGTATCCTGTATACGATGCAGGTTGACCTTGAACTTGCAGCTACTCCCCGACCACATATGCGCCACCACGCTTTTGTCGCGCAGACGTCTCTCCGCTTGCGCTACTCCCCCACCGCCACGAGGATTTTTCTCCTTTCTTTGCCACGCGGATTTCGAGGTTGCCTTTGCGAAACGGTTTCTACCCCGATCGTCGTCAGTCGTTTCTCCCCGGGGAACGAGAACGATCGCGGAAGAGATCACCGCGATGGGACAAAAGAACGAACGATAGACAGAGGTCTTGGGCAAACCTTGGCCATCTCCGACGAACACGCGGCCGTCGATCCGCGTCGTTTGGCACGCTCCGAGAAATATCCGGAGAAACAATGATCCCTGCAGAGTCATCCGGCTTAACGGTACAGGTGCCAAACGGTGGTCGATCGCGGCCGTTAACGGCCGTCAACGGCCGTCAACGGCCGTCTCGAACGGGGTCCGAGCCAATATTCGGTAGTCGATTTTCATGAACCGCCGAAAACGTTTGATCGTGCGGTGGGACGAGGGATGAACGATCGGTCACGTTTGCCACAAAAGAAGCTCGTTTCCACTCGATGAATCTCGGTATACGAGGTCCCGTTTCGACCGTTACCGAGAGGGTACGAGTTTATTCGACTTTATTCGGTGTTGAGCGAGGGTGGAAGACCACTCTACTTCCAGCAGCCCGATGAAAGTAAACCACTCGGTAAAGCCGCGCAAAAGCGTCTCCAAAGTTTCCCGTTTGGCTCACGGTTTAACTTAATCGAAGCCGCCTGTCGTTCTTAACCTTCGAGACGAAACTTTCCCGGCGATCGATTCTCGACGATGCATTCGACTCGCGTCAGATTTATCCTCGCCTCGGCTTCGTTTATACCCCATCTTTTTTATACCCTTTCGTCACGATCCTTGGATTTTTGCCCGTATCGCGTTGGTATCTCTGCAATTTACAAGCACTTTCGCGCGACGCGTTCTTGCACGCGTCGTAACGTTACACGCTTTCGAACTGTACTTTTAACTTTGCACTCTGGCGGGCGCACCGTGTCAGCAAAAATGGCCGAAAAGTACGGCGACCGTTCGAAAGTACGGTTTCATAAATCCCGAAACTTTTACCGAACCGTGTGTGGCGGACCATTTAAAGCGTTCAAAGTACGAGACAAAGCGTCGGATAGAAGGGACGGAGAAGGTATAAAACGACGGTATCCCACTAGTTAGAACGACTCGATCGTCGCGACCACGGAGTAGAGCCGAAAAACGACCACGCCGGCTGTTTCCATTTAGGGATGTCATTAGGAGGCGCGCTTCGTATTCGAACGAAAAGAGATGGAAACGGAGTCGCCGGTCTGTTCGGTTTGGTAGAGATCAGGAAGAAGGTAGAGAGGTAGAAACGAGAGCAAATGGGGAAGGATATTTCGCGGATTTTAATTAATGCGGTTCATCTTTGTTTCTTTCAGACGAGCCAGCCCGTGGAGTTGCGCGTCTGCGAGAAATTCAGGCGTGAACGGAGGCGCGGGAGGAAGGGCACGAGGTGAAAAGCGGAACAGAGAAAAGGAGGATCGCGGGGGAAAAAGAAGAGGAAACGCGACAGATCTCGGCTCGTCGTTAAGAGAAGCAACCCTTTGTAGGCGAAACGACGGGGGGGCGGGAGGGAAATCGAACGTGTTTCTGACAGTCGCGCTGCGGTACCTGACTACTTCCGGTAACGTCGCGATCGGTAAATGCAGCCAAGTTTACGCGTCTCGCGAGCTACGTGGTACCAGCGAGAGCCCGATCGCGGCCGGATCAACGACGAGCCTACCAAGACCGGCCTAATCGCCACCGTTGTTAATGGCACGGTAGAAGGAATTCGGTGGCGATCGTCTCTTTCACCTCGGCGGAGAAGGAAAGTCGAGCAGCGAGTATACGGAGGAACTCGCGGACGAACGATAACGAAGAGCAACAGAGGGCCGGTGTAGTTGGCGCTTTACTCGAGAAGCGAAGCAGCTACTTTTCGGAAGGGTAAGAAACGCCGGTGGACTGTGCACGGCGTATCTGGAAGGGTTGCACGACCTGGAGCAGGAGCAAGAGGAAGAGGAAGAGGAGGCAGAAGAAGCGGGAGGCGGAGGAGAAGAAGAAGGAGACGAAGGAGGTGGTAGTAGCGTCGAAGCTGGAGGAGTCGGGAGGCTACAAGGGTGGTTGCACGTCGTCGTCGCGTGACGTGCGGAAAGAGCAGACGAAGCGTGGAGGAGGCATGAGGAGGAGAGAGTGACGACGCTGCCGGTGCTGCAGCCTCGCACAGATCGTGAGAGGACCGGCGGCCCCACGGTGGGGCTGCGATAAGAATGGCCCCCTTCAATATGGCGGGCGTAGCAGGCCTTCTAGCCACCTGCGCCGCCGCTGCTGCTTCCGCTGCCCACCTTCTGCCGTTGCTGCTGTTGCTGATCTGCCCGCGAGGGACCCACGCGGAACAAGGTAACCCTCTTTCTATCCTCTTCTTTTCTCTTCTCGTCTTTTCTCTCCCTTTCTCTACAGGTCGATTCAAAACCGTATCCTCGCGCGCTTCTCGTCCATAGCTGCAGGTACACCTAGCGCCGAACGAATCTCGGTGATTATGAATCTCGGCTTTTCTCGCACCACGAGAAGTTTCAGGAATTCCAATTCCTCCCGATGCTCGTTACAGAGAATCCCTGTCAGCCTGGTTCCACTTGGATCAAGCATCGGACGATGCGTTCGTTGAATCGTCCTGTATACGCTGCACTTTGCTCTATCTGAGGATCATAAAGCAAGATGATAGTCTAGGACGACACCTCGGGACACGATACGCGGGCGCGATTGGTACTTCCTTCTGTATACTTAGCTAGATGCATCGATTAAGTCGTACACGCCTGCCGCCAGACCTATACTACTACCCCTCTTCCTATCGAGAACGATTGCGATAGAAAGTCTTCGCCGATACAACGCGCTAGCGTTTCGAGTCGTTTTATGGACGACATAATTACTAGCTTCCCCGAGAGAACTCCGAGATACGTTGGTTATTTTTTTTTCTCGAAACAGAGACGAGGTCGACCAATAGATTTCTTGATACGACCACTGTCGATCGTTTGCTTGTAAATAACTTAATTAACGTTGAAGCGGCGGCAACTAATGGAATGTCGTTTATCGAAGATACTATTCGTCGAGGTTGCTTCCCGACACTTTTAAACGGCATTACGCTCGGCCAGCTGTTTCTCGATTAAAATCGTCCCAACGAATTGTCGAAATTGTCCGGGGTTTAGAGAACGCGATTGCCGCTCGACAACGATAATGGAACGATCTTGGAATGTTACGACGACGTATCGACGAGATTAGCCTAGCTTTCCGTACATTTGCCGGCTCGCGCGAATCGATATGCATCGATACGCATCGATATGCACGCTCGGTTCCATCGGAGATGCAGGGAATCGACCTCCTGCGAGAGAACTTGCTCGATGTTAGTCGAGAGACTATATAGAACTCTGGAACGTATACGCGACTTAATCGATATTCTCGGTAGATAATCGGTAGTGCAGCGATATTTGCCGAGAACTCGATCTGCCCGTACCCCCTGTCGAATATTTATTCGTCCCGGCGGGAAAAGCGGGAAAACTCGCGAGGAAGAATTTCTCGCGAGATTTTCGGTTAATCGAGCAGACGGCAGAGGAAGGTAGCCCGATGCTAACAGCGCGTATTCCTCTGATCCATCGCTACTCGCGATCTAGCCTGTTCCATCGCTACCGCGAGTGCGTGGACGCAACGACTTTTAAACGATTCGTGCATGCGAGGGATGGACGCGTTGTATCGTGATCCATAAACGCGGCAGAAATTTATTCGAACGATGGGAACGAGGACGACGAGGGCTTTGGGAAGCCTGGGTTTCTCAGAGATGCTCGTGGTGAGCTACCCGGAACGTTTTTCATATTTATGCCGAAAAAAGCTGGCGCCCCGGGGTTTTCGATGGGTCCGTTTCTGCACCCTTTCATCCCTCTTTCGCCCGGGAATAACGATAATTTCGTAATGTGGGCCAATCTTCCGAATTGCGGGATCGTTCGAGGTGCTGGTAGTTAGTGCTGCGGCATTAAAAGGGGATCATTTCGACGCGCACTCTGGACAGGAAGGAAGAAGGCAAACGGTGGGGATATATAGACTCCTCTCCGAAATTGACCGGCAAACTCAGCAGGGCCTGTTTACTCTACGTGAGCCGATTTCTAGATGAAGGGTCTCGCTGCCTTTTTGGATGCGCGGTGTGTTCCTCGCGATACCGACTCCGCTAAGGCCGCCACTCTCCGTTCCCTCGCGGATTCTCGTCACGAACACCGTTACCATTTTCAAAAACAGGGGGAAGAAGCAATTTCATCGAATTTTAACAACGCTAATCTATCGGCGCTGAAGCCTAGTAGATACCGGCTCGGACGTCGGGGTACATCTCGCGCCAGCGTTTTTCCTTCAACTTGCCTATCTCTGGCACATTTTAGCCGACCCCTTCGGTTAATTCCTCCGGTGACTACCGCGCCGCGGCGAGTCCTCGTATATCTCGGTCGCCAGGGAGTTGCCTCGCCACGAGACGAGAAGTTTGGGCGTTTAATGGAACTTGTCAAGAATACGCATCCCCGGTGGACCGTGTCCGCGCGCAATAGAGACGGTTAACTTCGTTTCCTTCGAAGGGTTTCCTGCGCGAAACCCGAGCTCCTCGTTACCCTTGCCTATTGGATATCTCGACTTCATGCCACGCTCTCCGCTTCTCCCGTTATATCTCTGAATTTCATTCTTCGACCGGATCCCTGAGAGGTCGACTACTCGTATTACAGTATCCGCTGGTGGACTCGTAAACACCGATTCTCGTGGATGATAAACTTCGCGGCTAAGCGAATTTGTCGAGGCACCCGAGCTTTCTAACCGATCTCACCGCGACTCTTCCGACGTGGCGTTTGATAATTTTAAGCGAACGTGGAAAAACGCAAAATCAGGTTTGCCTCGGGGCTACCCGGCGAGTCTCGGTGTCTTTGGTTCCTTTCATCGAATCGGACAAACCCCTAGGAGGGTTCAACCGAACGGGGGTATAACACGGTGACTGAAATTCGATTACTTTCTGGAACGACGAGCAAGCCACTCGGTGCTCCATGGTTCGTTCGCTACGTGGACACGCTTAGGGCTCGATTACTCTATCCGTCTACCCTCGGACCTCTTCTTTCGATTTCCCTTTAACGACGAACCGTGACGACACCCGATGAAACTGGCTGATCGTCCAATACGATTTCGACGCACTCGTTCCGTTTCGTTTCGTCCGTGATCGTTTCGAAGCGAGACGAATAAATGGAAATGGCGGTATTTCGCGTTTCAGTTTTCAGTTTCCATCACGGCCATCGCGCGACTCTCTCCCTCTCTCTCTCTGTCTCTATCTTCCGTGAGTTTTCCACACGCGTGGCGAGTATCAGGAAGAAGGAGCATGTAAACGGTAGGACGAGAAAAAGTCAAGGGAAACGCAGCCGAGAGAGCGGCGTGGCTTGGCAGTGAGGAGCGGAGCGATCGCAGAGGGCCGCTCGATCGCGGCTACGCGGTGACGGCGATAGCAGAAGCTGGAGCAGGAGCTGGAGCAGGAGCAACGGCAGGAGAAGTCTCGGGAGCAGGTCGAGCCAGGATGGCAGTTCTCTCTCGAACAAACTCGATTGCCTCCACGAAAAGGCAGAAAGACTCGTTCGAGCTGTGGCGGCTTGGAGCCTCGCTGCCTCTGCTCCTTCCTCTTTCGGATCCCTCTTTCTCTCGATTCCCCCCGGCACGGTCGGCGTCTTCTCTTCCTTCGTCCCTGCCGGCTATATCCTCGTTTCTCTCTTATTCTTACTTCATGGGGCCACGGTGAGTAAGAGACGCGGCAACGCCGCAGGAAAACCAGCCCACCGCGTGCATACCTGTACAGCCTACTACTCCGGTCCAGGTTCCAGCCGTACGAAGCCTGGCAGCATCCTATCGAGCTGACAAGGACGGACTGAAACTTGCCCCCTGCCGGTCGACCGACGAAGAGGAGCCAGCCGGCAAGAACGCCGGAAAGAGAAAGCAAGACGGAGGAGCACAGGCACTTTGGTGCGTGCTGCCGCGCGCTCTTTCTCTCTCTCTTTCTCTCTCCATCTTTCCCTTCTCTCTACCTTTTCCTCTCTCTTTCTCTCTGCCTCTCGATCGCCACGTTTGCGTGTGCTCCGCTGTCTCTTCTCACGGGAGAGAACGCCGTACGTGTATACGTGTGTGCCCGTTGCCGAGTTCGTGTCCTTTTGTACGCGCCTATGGGTGCGCGCGATGCCGCGCGTCCATGCCCGCGGATCTGGCAGCAGGAGCGACAAGGACTTACGGTTTCGGCAAGCGTGTGTGCGTGTGCGCGCGCGCGAGGAAAAGATCACACGGACAAATGTAGGCTACTCTCATTGACCGAGCCTGAGAGAAGTATGGCTCGCCCTCGGAGGGATCGAGGTGGAAAGAGAGACGGAAAGAAGGAGACGGTCGGAGAATCCCGGCGGATCTGTTCGCCGATCGAAACGATCCTCCGCGAGAAAACCGGTGGCCAGCGCGGCGTCTTCGGTTTACGCCGCGATGCGACGCGATGGGACGCGGCGCGATCCTCCATTAACTCGAACGTCCGCAGGAATTTTCGACGTGGTACCGCAACCTTGTACAGTTACCTTAATCCCTAGGGAACCGAACGACGCTTTGTTCGGGTCGCGACAGTTTCTCGCGACAGCTTTTTCCACGCGTTCCACGTTTCGAACTACCTTCATCCTATCCCGCTCTCCCTCCCTGCCGCGTTCGTCTCGCGATATTTCTCTCTCTCTCTCTCTCTCTCTCTCTCTCTCTCACTCTATTTCTTTCTCTTTCTCGCTTTCTCTCTGTGATCCGCGGACTCGATTTAAATTTTCGATATCCATCCCCGTGGCAGCGCAATATCCATCCTCGTATCGCCACCGGGTCACAAAGGTACGGTATAACGGACCAGATTAAAAATCAATATTTCCGCTGAAAACGCTTCGCCCGTTCCGTCCGTCCGTCGGTCGGACATAACCACCGCGTCCTTTGCTTTTAATGCCAATCTTATTCGGTTTCGGGGCAGCAATAGCGATCAGTTTTCGCCGCAGCTGCCGCAATCACGCTACCGATAAAAGCGAGTCATCATCGGTGGTCCCTTTGCGAGCTTGCGCGCGATCATCCTCCCCGCGACAACTCGATCCGTGGGACAAATGGGTTCTTCAGCACGGGGAAACGTCCGTGGAAAAAAGCCGAGCCAGACGTTCTCCAACAAACGTCGTTCAACGAATCTCGGAAAGTGCCGATATACCTACGGTACTTGGTATCGCTGGTCGCGGTTTACCCTTTATCGTTTCACCGTATATCTCGCGGACTACACCTACTTCGCGTATATACATATATATATGTATATATACATCGTTTCCTCGGATCCGGTGAAAGTGCCCTTT